CGACGACGACAACGACGACGACGACGACGACAACGACGACGACGTAAATGTGCGATTGAGATACGAGAATGGCGCCATAGACGACACACCAACACACACACATACACAATATACACAAAGACGACCTACTACGTTGATCAAGACCAAGTTTACTACTTACACACATATACGATGATAAAAAATAAAAATAAAAATAAAAATAAAAAAGTGTAGAAGAGGGAAAGAGGTAGGGTGGGTGGTCGTTTAGGGGAGGGGGTAGAAGAAACGTTCGATCGATAGAATCGATCTTTTCTCAGTACATGCATTTTACTTCAGAAGAGCATCGTTCAGAGATACACACACGCGACGATAAGCCTCATCAATCGGAAGCACGAACACACACACACACGTAACACACACATACATCACACACGTGAGATTTATGAAGTGGTGTGTGGCGCCGCGTGAAGTTGCATCTCTTTTTCTCATATGCGTGCGCGCGCTTTCTGGCGGTCACGAGGTCACGACGATTCCCGATCACAGTGTCCGAACTTTACCGAACAAAGGCAACTGCTACTACAACTTCGGATGATTATCCTATGTAAATTGAGTCTGTTACGCGTCGTTAAGCGATAACGGTTTAAGTACTAATTTCTCACTGCTGGAACTCTCGATCGATTCGTAGAAATAATATATTGACCTTCCCCGCCCCCCCCCACTCCCCGCCATCTCATCGTCACACTTCACACTTCCCCCTCTTTAGATACTTTTGTTTTCTCTAGATATACTATCAAAATGTATCCCCCCTCAACCCAAATAAAAATAATGCAACAGGTTCGAAAATCAAATGAGAAAGAAAAATAGAGAGTATTTTTTTTTTATTTCTTTCATTTTAAATCTGTTATACTTTGGTTTCACTATATATATATATATATATGTATTTGTGAAATTATTATCGTAATTGGAAGAGTTCAATAACACCGTGACAGGAGAGGTTCGCGTGAAAGGAACGTCGCCCTTCACTTTCTCCGAATCACTGATTTTATGTACTATTACTTTAATACTACTTGCGTTGTCTTCTCTTTTTGTATCAAACTTATAAGAAATTGTAATTACATTTAATCGTAACAAAAACGATCAATATTCAACTCGTATTAATATTCCGACAGAATATTTATTATTAACTTATAATTAAAAAACACGTGCCAGTAGTAAAATATATTCTAGAATAATTTAATATCGATTAGTAGAAAAACAAAATTAAATGTCGAAAAAAAAAAAAAAAAAAAAAAAAATTAAAAAAAGAAATAAACAAGTTTTTTGTTTAATGAATATCAAAAGATAATATTATATAAAACGTAATCTAGATGAATATTTCTTTGACACTTTCACGAATTCCTATTTCCAAGTAAAAAAGGGAGTAAATAAGAGCAAGAGCACGAGCACGAGCAAGGGGAAACAAGAAAAAGCAAAAAAGAAAAAAAGAGAACATCGAACGATCATCATCCGCTTATTTTGTTGGCCAAAGAGGCTGCCGCCTTCGTTGCTGCCGCGTTTGCCATAAAGCCTACATCAATACACGGCAATCACGCTAAGAGCAGATGTTATGCCCTCGCCAGGCTTGTGGCGTCTCGTCGATGCGCGGCTGAAGAACAGTGGAAAGAGGTGACTAAAAAGTGGTGGGGGAAACGATCGGCTAGCGTCGCCGATACTCGGCAGCCGAAGTGCTGCTTTGCCGCTGTTGGTCCCTTCGATGATACTACGCGCCAACAGCAGCAGCAGCAGCAGCACCAGCAGCAAAACTACTACTACTACTACTACTACTACACATACATAACATTTCATGGCACGTGTGCGTGTTCACCGTGTTGCAACTACTACTACGACTACTACTACTACTACTGTTGCTGCTGCTGCTGCCACGCGAGATAGTTCGTTAGTATACTCGCGGATTGGTTAGAAAGAGAGGGGGAATTTCGAGGGAGGTAGAGGGAGGGGGCAAGTGGCACGAGTAGAATGCGATGACGACGATGCGAGACCGATAGGACGATGAGAGAACGTTAAAGGGAAAGAGAAGGGAATGGGAAGGGAAAGGGAGGGGGAGGAGGTTTGATTCGATGTCGACGTCGACAGAACGCGACTTGGGACGTGCCTGTGGCGTCTACGGTGTAACTAGACGACGCCTGACGTCACACCTTCCACTAGCTAGTTACAGAATCATCTCACTCACTCTCTCATCATACCCATCATACGTGTGTAGGTGTATTTTCTAGTGTGGATCGTTGACAATTGAACTGGTCCGAATTCCTATCGTCATTTACGTATTTACATATTTATATGTAACAATATGTTTTTGTTTTGAAATCAAATGTATTAACTGATATTTAGTTCTGATAAAAAAGATATATCATTCTTACGTAAATGATAATAATAATAATAATCTATAGTTTACTTAATATGTATCTTGTATTAACTTATTTGTTATTATGATCGTTGTTGTTGAATACATGTTTAAACGTGTTTTACTATTATAATAAATGAATGTTATTATTCAGAATTATAGGTGTATCATCTTGTTCTTTTCAATCCTATAATATTCTAATGAATATGGGAGAAATATTGAGAATATAATCATCATTTTATCTCGTGTTAAGTCCAAAGATTGTTTCGGTTTCAATTTCAAAGATGGTGGAGAGGGGGAACAACACCGCGGCGAAGATTGAATATAATTTCTAAACTGCCATTTATATATAATTATAATATTATATTATATTAGTTGTACAAATTTTGCTTACGCAATTTTCCTACAGATGGCTTATAGAAAAGAAATGGCGTCAAGAAAAAAAGGTTGCAAACAAAAAAAAAACACCTATTACATAATACAATTTATAATATATTAATTAATATAATATAAATATATAATTAATATAAATAATTCTTCATTTTTAATGTTAATTATATATTTTTATTGGATTCAATTTGTCATTGGTAATAGGAAATAAAAGAAAAAAAGTAAGGTTATATTATCGAGATATCGATGATTTCGAGCAGTACATTTTCTATGGGGGATATGTAAGTAAATATATATATATATATATACGTGTATATGTGTAAGTAAATATGTATATACAATACTACTTTCGATCTAGCATGGATCGTTTTACGCGAAGTACTAGTAAGGCTTGCTCGGCGCCTTTGTTCGGCATCCCGAGGTCGATTCTCGTAGTCGTCGTTGTCGTCGTCGTCGTCGTCGTAGTCTTTTCCGAGTATGAAGAATGCGTAAACCACTTTATGAAGAATCTTTGATGGGTGTTTATATATATATACACCTGGTACATATATATATATATATATATATATGTATACAAGGATATTTTAAAAATTTGATTTCTTTCAAGATTTCTCAGTTGTCAGAGAGAAAGGGAAAAAACAAGCAGAAATATTTTACTTCGAAATATCCTTCTGTATATATATAATACCTGCGCGTGTATATATACTCATTCAGTGTACTACGTAATACAAGAGGAGTTTCCAAACATTTGATTATGTGTTCATCATTGATTTTTCCAAGTTATCAGGAAAACGAGATTTTATTTAATATTCTTTCTTCGTTCCTTTTTTATTTTTTTTTTTTTATACTCTTTCTTTCTTTTTCCTTATTTCTAAATTATTCTCTTATATTTTCCTTTTTATTTTTTTTTCATATTTTTCTATGATTATCGAGTGTTGTTGTGCGTCAAAATGTCTCCCATAGTAAGTTTGGTTTGAATTGTCAAGAAAAAAAAAAAGAATAATAATAAATAAATAAAATTAATSGAATAATAATGTTTCGAACGAAAGAAAGGGGAAAGAAAAAAGATTTGTTTGAAAAAAAAAAGTATAATAAAAAGATACTAAAAAAAAACTAATGACGTTGTTAAATTCTAAATCGTCTGTTTCATCCTACGAAGAGGAAAGAAGAAGAAGAAGAAGAAGAAGAAGAAGAAGAATTTGTTCGTCACGTATAATAAGTGTGACGTAACACGCATGCGTCAATAATTATTATCATCGTATAAGAAAAGATCTGACGTATATTATAATAAAAACAATCTGTTTTCTTTTTTCTTTTTTCCATATTTCTGCAAAAAAGAAAAAAGAAAAATAAAAAATATCATAAACAATACATAAAAAGTTTTAATTACAAAATTATTTAATTTGATATTATTTATTTTTAGGTTAAGAAAATCTAAAGTCTCATTTGTTATAATTAAATTGTACACACAATTGATTTTTAAAATACATTGATAGATTTATATATATATATTTTCCTTACAAAATAAAATAATTAAATTATTAAATTAAAATATAATATTAGAAAATTTTAAATATAATTTTTAAAAAATTTAATATTAAAAAATTAATAACATTAATTTTTAAACCAATCTAAACATCTAATAAATCCACTACATAAAACAAAACAAAACAAAACAAAACAAAAATAAACAAAAATAGAATCAAATTTCTTTAATCATTTTTAAGGAAAGGTCAGTGACAGAGAAAGAAAAAGTAAGAAAACGTAATGCCTTTTACTTTCTCTTTCTCTCCAAAAGTTATTCATCTCTCTTAATCGGTCTGTCGTCGTCCACTAAAGGAAGACGGAACACGTATATATCCCCTCCCCTTTCTTCCCTCCCCTCCCCACCCTTCCAATCTCTCTTACTCTCTCCCCTCCCCCTCTCTCTCATCTTATTCGGGGTAAACGTACGCATGGAACGACGTCTTTATAAAACGCGTGTTTCTTCTTCTTCTTCTTCTTCTTCTTCCATCGGCTTTTCTGTTAGTGTGATGATGATGCTTGGACGCTATTTTCGTCAGCGGATTCACCGTGGAATGAGATCAGTGCGCTAAATTTACGATAGTTAAGAGAGAACACCACCACCAACCCCTTCTACTTCAACTTTAACTTTAACTTCAATTTTTTCGAGCTTGCTGGAGGAATGACATGGAATATAAAAAAAAAAGACAGAAAGATATAGAAAAAGATAGTGTGATACGTTTATGGTAAGAAAAACGTGTCACAACTATCATCAACCAATCCCAACCCAACAAACTCTCGGAAGAACGCATTGGCGCTTTACTGAAAGCTCTGGTTATTATTCGTCCCTTCGTTAAATATCCCTTTCTCTACTTTGTTTTATTTATCTATCTATCTATCTCTCTCTCTCTAACCTTTTCATTTTCTCTATCTTTTTCTCACTCTTTCTATCTTTCATTTGGTTGCACGTACGAATATCTACTACTACTACTACGGCGCACTCTAGCGTACAAATTTGAAACTTTCTATTTCTTTTTCTTTTTCATTCTCTTTAGGGGAATACCCTTTTTATATTATTCGTGTTTACCCTAGTAAAAGTGTTTGTGAAAATTTAGAAAAATATTTTTTCCTTTGTAAATGATACAACGAATTTGTTTTTTAGGTTATGATTTCTTATAAAATAAAATTAATAATAAAAACAAAAATATATATATATTAAGTACAGAAAGAGAGTAAAAGAAGAATAAGAAGAAAAAGAAGAAGCAAACATTGCAGCTGTCGTCTATCAGAATATGAGTGTATAAGTGTGGTGTATACGATTGTAAACCCTTCTTCTTCTTCTACTACTACTACTACTACTACTACTTTAGTCATAAAAAAAAAATAAAAAAGGGTTTGGAACGCGTACATATGGAAGCAAGCAAGCAAAGCTTGTATTTCTATATGGCTTTTATCACTTACAGGGCTTCTGCATTAATATCGCGTAACGCGTGCTTTATCCGTGCGCGCGCGCGCGCGCGCGCACGAGTTCACTCGTATGCACCTGAATACCGATAATAACGAATATATCTGCCTATATTTCGTACGTATTTATGTTCTTCAGGGTTTTGCCCCGTGTATTTGCATTTCGCGGTTGTTTACGATTAATGCCGTATAACGTTGTATATATATATATATATGTGTGTGTGTTTGTATATATGAATTCATATAACACATGCATCTCTGTGTGGATTTTTTGTTTTTGTTTTTTAAGAGAAAATAGATTAACGAGGATGATATTATTAATATTATTAGTGTTTTTATATTTTTTTAAAAAGGTCATTTCGAATATCTTTGTTTATGTGGTAAATTCATTTTGTTTCACATATGTTCATTATAATTCTGCAAATATTAAAGACGATAATATAATAATTATTGGATCACACTAAGTGGTTCACAATCAGTCTGATACACACGTCTTTAAGTCAACGAATTACCTTATACCACCATCTGTTAGAATCTTATCGAACTAATAGAGATTAACATGACTTTAATTAATTAATAAACAAATAATTGGCAATAAAATAATATTGCGATTATAAATTGAAATATAAACTATCCTATCTTTTAAGTTGGATAAAACTGCACACAGTGTGCAAAATTTGATTAAAATCGGTTCAATAGTTTAAGAGTCCATTGCGGACAAACAACGTGACACGTAATTTATATATAATAATTATATATAATTATACATATACGTATCTACAATTGAATAAATATTTATTTATTTCCAATTATTATCACAAATACGTTGTTATTCGTCATATATATATTAGTTATAATAATAATAATGATGATGATGATGATGATGATGAGGATGATGATGATGTTGCAAAAGTAGATCAAAGGAATTAGTTTTAAAGGATACGTAATACTGTTCGTTTATTACAACGGTTTGTAAGATAGAAGAAGAAACGCGTGTATGTACTCCGGTGTTAATAGCTTTCGAAAGAAGGCGGGCCCAGAAACGCGTTCAGAGTTAAATACGCGCACGTGCGAGCCCTAACGAAGCTGGGAGCACGTCCAGAACATATATGTATACATATACATATATATATATATATATTATATTATATATATTACATATGCATGTATATATACAATACCATGTGGTGTGTGCATGCAAGTATATGTGTGTACTGGGAATAAGGGTTGGATCGATGCATCCGAGAGTTCCTGAATATATATATATATATCAAAATAAAAATAAAAACCCAAATAAAAATGAAAATGAAAAATAAAATAGTTAAAAATTTGTTCCATACAATAATCTTTGAAAGGGAATGTAACACTCTACACACATACACACATGCACACACATATATATATCTATAGATATATTTTTTGTTGTTGAATGCAAGTAAGCAAGAAAGGAATGAGAGTCCTGAAAGGTGGAGGAATCGTTGCACGTGAGTGCTCGCAACCGAGAGCCATGAAAATGCTGAGTGCAAATCGTACGCGTGTATATGCAAAAGAGAAAAAGAAAGAAAGAAATAAAGAAACGAAGAAAGATAGATAGATAGATAGATAGAAAGAAAGAAAGAAAGAAAAAAAAAAATCAGAGAAGAGGGAAAGAGAGTAGTAGTGTGCGTAGAAAATGTTGGCGTATGCAAAATATGGTAATGCGTGGAGAGTAGCCAGGGCGGATAAAGTGAACCGTACGGCGCACGACTGAATATAATGTCGTCGATAGAACCAAACGATAAAGACAATCTTCACGGATTAAAACGCCTCTCTTTCTTCTCAAAGAACATGAAGAAAAGAAAAAAAAAAAAAAAAAAAAA